GAGAAGCATAGCGCTGAATAGAATTTTATCAACGTTATAGGCGAGGCGCTGATTCAACCTCTTAATCCTACCTTCGATAGCGGCGTAACTCCGCCCATTTTGTATGTTTCTCTACTTATCCAATGCGTGTTTTTGTAGCTCCACCTTGCTCTATTGGCAAATTTGTTTCTTTGAAACTTTATGGAAATTGATACATTTTCCTTAGAAACTTGCTGCTTTACACATTGTTCTTGCAGATTTATTCATTGTGGTCGCGATTTTTCTCTTTTTACGATGAACCGAAGATTAACTTATAATTTTGGCCATCATTCCAATTAACACTGGCATTTTATTATAATTTAGATGATTACGCTAACATATATTTTTCAAAAGTACTAACAGTCGGTCTAGTTTAGTTTACATTTCAACAGACGCAACAGAAAATCCTGTGAATAAATGAAAGCAAATGAGCTCGAAGTAAGTTCGTAAGGTCTCGACCCCAAACGTTCGCCAAATTAAATAACCATCTTTATCTCCGATTATTTTCGGGCGTAAAATTGCAAATACCAGTGTTTTGCCGGAATCAGAATCACCGACAAATTGTAAGCTTTTTTTCAATGATTATGCGTTGATTTTTAGTAACGAGCGCGTCATAAACCATATTCATGAATTTGCATAACGCTAAAATGAAACTTTTTAGCTGTAAAACAAATTACACCTCTCAGTCTGCAGGACGATATTTTAGAGATTTATTCCATCTTAAAGCTCAAAAGTCCTGCTTGTGACTGTGGCAAAAATTGTAGTCCATTAAAAACCGCTTCGGCCGCTAATAGGTTGAAGAACTTTTGTTTTGCAAAAACTTTACAGCCCCCAAGGAAACGTTTTATGCACGTCCATAACAAGGAGAATTTACGTTGTTCTATAAAAACTGCATCTGCATGATCACGATAATCCCCAATAAAGTAGCTGCTCGGCTTAAAAGCACTTATTCAGCTTTAACAGAATGGTGTTAATTGAAATTGCCTCGTTTTTCAGGACCTCTAAGCCTAGTATTGGGGATTAATGCAAAGAGGAAAAACCTTTGAATAACTCGTATTTACAAGCCGAAGCGCAGCTTCGTGTTGGGAATTAAAAAGTCGCACTCGGATGTAAATCTGATCATTTGACGTGAAAGGCGAATCGTACAAAAGCTCTATATCATAGTTTATGACCCTGATATCTGAAATTCAGCTTTTGTCTTTAGGTATATGTTTATTGAAGGATGCGGGAAAAAATACTGGATTTGACCTAAATACTGTCCGTGAACAAAGCGCTCGCTTGGAAGTTGAAGCTAACAGGCTGGGAGATCCACTGGAGTTTAATGGAGCTTGAACAGATCTAAAATTATTTAGCCGTTTAGTTACGATATCAGATCTGAAAGCTGCATATAGAGACGTCCGATCTCATGGGAATACTTCAGTTTAACTAATTTTACTTCTACTTGAGTTTGTATATTTAAGTAGATGCTTGAACAGTTTCGATGAATTTCGGAGCATTCTCATTCGATAATAATTATTTGCGAATTAATAGTACGTGAAATAGACTGGTAACGCTAACTTTAAGCTATTTTCTATTCCAGCTTCACGTTCGGCCAACAGTTTAACACTAATCCAAATTGGAAGAATCTGATGCATATTATACATGAGATTGAGGATGTTTTGCAGTAAGGAGAGTTTCTCTGCTGAGGAGAGTTTGGTTAGTCGCAAACTGAGAATATTTTTAGATCAAACCTGAACATTTAGGTGTTGTTTTCCCAATTCCATTTGCTTTCTTAAACAGCTTTATTTAATTTTATGCAGAATGTAATCTGAAACCCTTTCATAAAATGTGTTTTTCTACGCTTTATGCCACTCCATTCGGGAACGTATTTTTATTGAATTCTCCTGAAATCAAAATTAATTAAGCATGATTTTGCAGTGAAACTTATCACAAGGATAATGCGACCTTGGCTCTTTCTTACGGCGTTAAGAGCAATTTGTAGCTATTTTCAGTTTTTGACATAGTGAAATTTGAAAACTTTTTTGCCAGAAAAGCATTGAAATCAGAGCTCATGCTCCAAATTTCATTAAAATCTCATGATAATTGGAAACGCAGACTTGGAGAGCTTTATTACAAAGTTGAGATATATAAAGTCAAGATTTGATAAATTCCAAGCTCATTTGTAAATTTAATCAAAACTTCAGTTCTAAAACTGATTCAGTGAAACTCGTAGTACTTTCAGAATGCACCTTTATTTTAACAAGAGCGGCAAGAGAAAACCTTTTCTCGTTTTTCAGACATCAGTTTTTAGAAAATTTCACGAAAATTCGAAACGCAAACTTATAAAGCGTTAAGTATGTAAGCCAGGGACGAATTAAGTTCAATTTCTTGGAGAAACGTATCTTTTAAATAAAACCAACCAGCCTCTTAATATCAGTGTTGAGAACAATTAGCAAGTATTTGTAGGTTTTGAGGCAAAAAAATTGAAAACTTTCCCGCAGAGAAAGCCCTAAATTCAAGGTTTAATTTGCAATGTTAATTAAAACTTTAGTTCTAAAAAAGTTATTAATTTCTGAAAATTTTACTACAATGCAAAACATAAACTTATAGAACATTTTTTTAATCAGCAAAAATCGTCTGAGCATAGTTTTCTGGTGAAGCGTCTCACAACCATAAGGCAAGCCAGTTTATTTCTTTCGGTGTTGAGATGAATTTACAATTATTTTTAGTTTCGGGAAGTTGAAACCTTTTCTGCAGAGGCAGCTCTAAATTCAAAGGTAGCTTTCCAAACTTGACTAAGACTTTAGCTTTAAGACTGATTTGGTGAAATTTGTTGCACTTCTATAACACACTTGTTTCTTAGCGAGACCATAAAGAGAAAGAAGTCTCATTCTTTTCCCGTCTTGAATTCAATAATTTGTGAAAATTTTACGACGTGCGAAACGTAACTTATACAGTTTTGGTCCAAAATTTGCCCAAAATCAACTAAGCATAATTTCTAAGAAGGACTTTTCTCAGCGATGAAGCTAGCCAGTTTATTTATTAAGGTGCTGAAGGCAAGAGCCACTATTTAAAAAATTTATTATAGTAATATTTGAACTTCCCTGTGGCGGAAGCTCTAAAATCAATGCTCTTCTTCAGATTTCATTAAAAACTAACTAGTAAGATTCGTTTAGTGAAATTTGTAACACTTTGAGAACGCATTCTTATCTTAACAGAAGCACAACAGTTAAATCTTCTTTTTTGCCATTATAAGTCACTAATTTTTGAAAATTTTAAGGCACTGAAATCTCAAACTTAAAGGGACTTTTCCAAAAATGTGCCAAAATTAAATTAAGCATTATTTCTTGACGAAACTTCTCTCAACGATATGACAAACCAGTGTGTTTCTTGTTTGCTGTTTTTGAATTTTGAGATATCATAATAACATTTGAAGAGTTTTCTGCAGCGGAAGCTCAAAATCCAATGCTCCGTTCCTAAATTTGATTCAAAACTTACTGCTAAGACTCGATTGAAAATATTGCAGTACTTTGAGATCGCATTCTTGTCTTAGCAGGAGCATAAAAATCAAATCTGCTTTGTTTCCCATTTTTAAATCACTAATTGCTGAAAATTTCACGACACTGCAAACCTCAAACTTTAAGAGCTTTTTCCAAAAAAAATCCAAAAGTCGACTAAGCATTATTTTGTGGAGAAATTGTGAGAAAACAGTGTGTTTATTTCGGCGCTCTGAGATTTTACAGCTGTTTTTGGTTTTTGAGATATTCATAATAACATTTGATGGTTTTTCGGCAGCGGAAGCTCTAAATCTAATGCTCCGTTCTTAAATTTGATTCAAAACTTACTGCCAAGATCCGATTTTTTAAATTTGTAGCACTTTGAGACGACATACTTCTCTTAACAGGAGCATAAAAATTAAATTAGCTTTTTTCCGGTTTATAAGTAAATTTTTGAATATTTTGCAACACTGCAAATGTGAAACTTAAAGAACTTTTTGGAAAAATCTTCAAAATTCAACTATGTAAATATTATTTCTTGGAGAAACTTCTCTCAGCGATATGATAAACCAATGTTCTTTCGACACTCTAATAATTTTGCAGCTATTGTTAGTTTTTGAGATATTCTTCAAAATTTGAATAATTTTCTGCAGCGCAAACTTTAAATCCAATGCTCCTTTCCCAAATTTGATTCAAATCTTACTGCCAAGACTTTGGTAAAAGTCCTGATGCTTCAAAAATGCACGTTTGCCTTAACAAAGGCATAAAAGAAAAATCTGCTGTATTTACCGTTTTAAATTCACCAAATGTGAAATTTTCACGATAATTGGAATCGAGAATTTATCCTGAGCTTTTAAAAAGTTCACTGAAAATCAAGTAAAGCGGTTTTCTCGATAAAGCTACTGTCGCTTATAAAGCGTACTTTGTTCTTTCCGAATTCATAAAACTAGAACTGAATCGCTTCGAGTTTTTATGCCAGTGTGTTTTGAAAGAAGCTATTGTCATGGGAAATATGAGATAAGAAAGAGCGAGCGTTCCAAAATTCATCAGACATCAACTAAACATGATTTCGTAGTCAAACTTTTCACAAACATAAACCGGACTTCTCCCTTTCTTCCTCTATTCATTCACGGTTGCTGCTGGAAAGTATTTCATTAAAATATGTATACTTATGATCTGCCTACCTACATGCAGAAAGGGCCATTTTTACTACAGAAAATAAATTTGGCCAACAAGTTTATTATATTTTGATTACGACGTTTTACTCAAGCGAACACACTCACATTCAGATTACATTGCCGTCCAATCCACAGTCTTGTAGCATCAGTAATCTGCTTATAATTAATTAGCTTTCATACTACAGTCGAACGATTCGGATATAATTTATATTATAAGCCGCCGATAGTATTTATAGGCTCAGGTGGAATATATTGTGCTGTACATTTTCCATCAATTGATATACAAACTGTTCCAAATAAATCTACATTAATTTCCTTTCCATTTCAGATAATGTTAGGAGTTATTCTCCAGCTAGAGCAAGTGTCTTTCGCTTCGTCGATTTTGGCCTCATTTATCAGCCTCAGAATTTGAATGTTTTCTTACATATTCGTTCATTTATTCAAATCCGGCAAAGATAAGATGGAAAACGAACTGCACCGAATCGATAACCACACGCTTAATGATGTACTGAATAGGAGCAATGAGGTCGATCCGAAACTCTACGATAGATATCTCCTGAATAAAGCTATCGATGAACCCGCCTATACCATCCTCATTATGATGTATTCGTTCCTGATTATTTTGGGCACATTGGGAAATCTTTTGGTGGTAAGTCTTTTTGTTGTGCAGGAACTGCTTGCTTACTAACTTAAAACACTTCAAAAATTGCATGCGGTTTCAGTTGAGCATATTTCAAATTAGTTGCTACCTAAATTCCTAATCTAGCAATTCAAGATCATTGTCTTTATAGTTTATATTGGGGATTCCAAAGGCCATTTATAACAGAGATAGAAATCTTTAAGTTACATCCGCAACTTTAGCGAGCAATCAAAGGAAAAGTTAGGAGACGTAGAGGAAATCGCAGTTTTATAAATCTTGAAAACTCAGAGCACGTCTGTCTACAAATTTGTCTAGTTTTCAAGGATAAGACGCTCATACCCGCTGCTTTGAATCGAAGTCAGCTACAAGAAGAACCTAAGGCAATATTCTTTTAAGTGAGAATTTTAACAGATCTATTAGGCGATAAAAAGCGCCGTTTTTATAAATAAACTCTTTTCACGCCGATGGATATGAAATTTAATAAAATGTTTTTGCTACAATGTGCGAAACTCATAAAAACCCGCAATTTATTTTCATTTTTTTCTGTGATATGAGAGATTGTCTGGGCTGAAACTTTCTCGGAAGCAACTTACTTAATCTTTTTATGTCTTAGTGTGAACGTAAAACAAAGCCGGGTCTCCGTAGGATAGCTGGGGTTAAAAGGAAACATCAATGTTCCAACGACCTCTATTCAATTGAATTTGTGCCTGTTATTCCGGGCGGTTTCTTGGCTGGCGATCACTGTGTGAAAATTTACCGAGCTTTTTACGGAACATTTTAGGAAAATCCGCGAAAAACACTCACAGCTTGAATGCGTTTTGTTAGAGTTTTATTACGGAGCTTTACATATCAAGCAGCTAATCTCGTCTACGAGTTTCACTGATATTGAATAAAAAAACGTCATAAAGCTACGTTTTTGTTTCAGATAGTTGCAGTGTTTCGCAAACCCGCAATGAGATCACCTAGAAACCTGTTCATCGTTAATTTAGCAGTGGCTGACTTACTGCTATGCACCGTTACAATGCCGTTAACTCTGATGGAAATCCTCACTAAGTACTTTCCTCTAGGCAATAATCCTTTTGTCTGCAAAACTATCGGGATCCTTCAAGCTACAAGCACCTACGTATCCACGATATCCATCACGGCGATCGCTCTGGATAGATACCAAGTAAGTGGTTGTGTTTTATATGTTTGAGATAAATGTATAATAAAATGGCTGATCCATCAGGTCTCCAGGACCCATAAAAACTTTTAGAACCCGCTCGGCGACTATAGAATTATCATAAAATGTGATACCGAGTCAAAAAGTTCAAGCTTTATCTTCAGAAGACCCTCTTAAATCCCGATGCCATTTAGCGGGTGAAACAGATATCCGTTCCACGGAAATAACGCGGTCAATTTTTTGCTGATTTTGCCAGAAAATTGGCACAGGCTGGCTATCAATCACCATATTTTTTCAGTCTTGATAGAAGTTTCAAAAGAACACTAGACGGATAGTTTAGAGAACTATTTACTTGAGTTTATTAGCTATGGGTGGTTTAGCGGAGGGTTTGATGATTTACTTCGATTGAATCATAATATTCAATAAAACAATGCATGTTCTTTATTTGGACTTTCGGGGGATTTTTTAGTTTTGAATATTGATTAAAATTATTAAAATAACATGCAGAATTTTCCGATTATATTCGAACATGCCGTGTAAACAAAACATGGAAATCGCCTTTAAATTTAGCTGGTCAATTTAGTTCGTGTGTCACAGCAGGTAATTGCAGCAATGCGTGAACATCCAACTATTGCTGATGCTTTCTGCTTTAAACGTTCTGGATGTGACCATACAATTGCAAACATTTGCCAGTGCATTTCCCTACATGAATTAAATATCTGATTGGTTGGCAATCTACATAACCCAAAAGGGTGTTAATTAACTGAAGGGATTTTCTGCACAATCACACTCTGCCAAGAGTTTAATTTAAAGTTGAAGTTGCTGGCACCAGCCACTTTCTTCGGTAGTTGCGACCTGGAATTTTCAGCCGGTCTTCAGATTACACCTGCCTAACTGCCATTCTGTAGGCTCATAGTTTTTAGTCAAATTAAATGAGTTACTGCTGCATGCATTTAAGCGGCCACTAATGAGCTTGATTTTTTAATTAAATACAACACTTTATTCAGTTACAAATAGGCGATGAAGGGTTATTTTCCGATATAGAAAAACTAAATATTCTGCAAGTAATCGTGGCTAAAGTGCGCTTGGAGCTGCTCAGTATGCAAAGTCGTGGATTCAATTTACTCAACTGTCTCCAAAAAGACTGGTACAGATGCCCGTCATAAATATTTCTTTATTTTATTAGCCCAATTTCTCCTGTCGAGAAAATTTTTCAAAATTCCAAAGCTAGCTGCATTTCATCTTGTCCAGCTTGTTCCCGTGGGGACAATCCAGAAAATGAAATTTCCAGATGAATTTATTTGTTATCTCACTACTAGAGCTACATTTGTTATTTTCAAAAGCAATTTCTGTTTACTGTAAGGTGAAGCTGTCTTAGATGAGTAACCGCGTTAAGCAGATTGAACATTTGTAACTGCCAATTTACATGCGTATAAAATGAAACACAATTGGTGTTTCCAGTGAATTAATTTTCCAATATTTTTTGTGTAATTAGATTTATATAAATTATCTAGCCGCTCCCCGGCCTCTAGGGAAATTTAATTTACTTATTTAGGATAGTGCATGCATGATTCTTCATAATTTTCCGGGTCGGATCAATGATTTCAATGTTAAAGTAGATGGTAGTCCTTTTTTGTGCTTTTAACCGGATTTGCTTACTACTTTGGGAATTACGCGAATATCAACAAAGTGTTTATTGGAAAATGTCATTGTTGTTTTGTTAAAGTGTAGTGAGGATGGGCAAAAATATCAAATTTTGAATTCCTAAGACCCGTAATATTTTTCTGTAAGCCGAGGCTGAAAGTTCTTTGAATAACGTATTGGCCTTTGATTTTGCATTTTCTGGTTTAGCTGCCTTGCGACGCAAAACACACTTTTGCGTTTCCTTAACCTTTTAGTAAATTGATACTCGAAACACTAAACCATAAAACAAACTACGCAAACTTTCCTTGATAAAAGTTTCATAGTTATCGGCCGATGTGGCTTCTTTTCGCCCCTGAGCAACTAAAATTAACTCCAATTTACGCAGAAGAAACGGGACTTGAAGGGTTTCGAATGAAAAACAATTAATTGGTGTTTTGTTGCTTAAGTGTAATAAAAAAGCTGGAGAGTAGTGATTGATTTATTGTTGGGATTATGGTCTCACGCTTTCAGTAAATTGGAGTTTTTGGGAAAAGTTTGCTTTTCTTGACCCGACACCGAGCTAAATTGGAGCAAAGTTGGTATGTGCTTGCAGAAACTTAGGCGCATTACTTTACAAACTATTCCTTTACACCGCAAGTTTGGACTGATTACAATCATGTTTCGGTGGGTTTATTGCAAACGTTGCGAATAACTTCCGGTTTATACCTGTTGAGAATATAATTCCTCACTATTCCAGTCTTAAACTGAAAGCAGGACTTTCACATCGGACATCATATCCATTATTCAAGTTGACGCCACTGACGCCTCACTGCACTCTGAAAGCATTATCAGGTTTTCTACCGCGAAACTTCTACAAAGACAGTTTATATGATTTACTGTTCGAAGAACTCATTTTTCCATTAATTTGTCTGGCGTTGCCGTAGCTGAGAGACCTTTTGGAGAGTTCAAAGTCTCAAGACAAACAAGTACCTTCAAGATTTATTCGGCCGTTGCCTCTTTTGTTAAGACGGGCCATGTAAATTGATGCAACGACGGACTCTCGACTGAATTGGTTCTTCAGATTCAAGCAAAAAATACCCAAACAATGCCTTTTGAATCTATGGAGTTTCCAGCGGTGGCCTGCAAGCGATGTCTAGGAGTTATTGTTGGTTGATCTTCAGGTTGTGTTCGGTTTATTGTAAAAACTTTCCCGAATTTTGTGGCTTATTTAATGCTAAAAAAGCTCGGGAGATTGTGAAGAAAAAACCCAAAGCTTTCAGGTAATTCTAACGTTTTTGGCTAGAACTTTGACCCAACATCAATCCTCAATTTAAATGCTGATGAATATTTGCCGGCAAGTTTTACGTATTTTTAGATAATTTCTCCATGATGTTTTTCATTCTCTGTCGACGCTTTTAACGAATGGAAGCCATGTTCCAAAGTAATTTCAGCGCTTTTAGGTGAATATTTGTTTTATCCCCATTATACATCTGATAAATGGGAATAACCTATTTACTTTTAATTACTCCAGAGAATTGATACACCAGCTCCCAGCTACCAATGTCCGAATGGGTTGAAATCACGTTCAGTCAAACTGTGGTTATTTATCTGGGTAGTTTGAAATTAATTATGGCTATTTGTGGAGCAGCAGCTGAACTCGAAGAGTTAAATACAATCGGATTTAATTACCGAATCCAGACGACTTGGCCTTGGTTAAATCCTCAGCGTTTTCTGGATATGATCCACTTTGCAAATTGAGGCCTGATTGATGGGGATCATTGGGATTTAAGAATCTTGGGGAATATTCGCTCTGGAAACGACCACTTAAATCGTTTTGGCAAATACGAAACACATTAAACAAATGTGCCATTTGCCGACTGATTTAAATTTATGTGGAATATTTGCATTTTTAAGCCTCACTTTTCCGCGTAATGTATTCAAGGGTAAGCCTACCGCACTTTGCGATGTTGATTTGTAAATGAATTACATTTGTATGTGCTATATGGGGTTGGCGAAAATTTACAAATTGAGAGAAAAATCGAGAGTTGTTTGGCTTGAAATTATCCTTTTAAATCTCATCCTTGTTTTGCTTCTGCTTGCTCCATTGCCGTTTCCTCGGCGAAAGTGAAATTTATTTCCAGCAGAATGCCTTTCACTGTGTGGATTTCTTTGGCAATAATTATCAAAATCAATTAACCGGAGTAGCAGAAAAGACGTCGCCAACGACTGTAGTCGATTGCCCTCATTTGTTCAGTTATCTAACAGCTTTTCTGATTGGACATTTTCCAGATCAGTCGCGACTTTGATATTAATCGTAGCCGGATAAAATAAATCGGGATAACATGATTAAAATTCCTTTCAACCTGATTGGTTCTGATTCATTACGAGAATGAAAATTGGTCTGCTTTGGTCCTTTGTAAAGAAAACCGGAGTTAAATCAGCCTTAAAAGCCCTTAATTGATTTTACCCTTCACCGACAAATGTCTATAGTTGGGGCTGATAAGTTCCCTTCATTACTAAATTTTCGAAATTGTACTGTTTGATGCTGAGTAATGGGACGTTGGGGTCACAGTTATAGCGGAAATAACATTAACTGTGGTTAAATACTTTAACAGACAGCTAGTTTGAGTAAAAGTCGTCCCAACAAAACTAACTACAGTTAAACAAACACGTAAAAACTAAAACAAATTATCAGTATTTTTATTCTTGGAACACGACCAAACAGTTTTGTTTCACTCGGTAAGATTATGCACCCCAACTTCACAGTTTACCTTTAATTTAATTTTGAAATTTGCGTCGAAAAATGTTATGCCAAACTCTTGAGCAGAACGTTTTAATTAAAAGAGGATGTTGAATTTGGAAGCTGCAGTTTAAAACTTGAAGCTCGCCGTTCGAGTAATTGAAAAGGAAAACGAACTTGTTGATTATTGAAATGTGTTTGGGCCTGGAAATTACCAATAAACTGGGTTTATTCAGCGAGTTTGCTCACGCCGCCGAAGCTAAAGACAAAGGTTAAATATTTTGTGTTGAAAATCTACATAATTGACCCTCAAATTTCAAAAAATCACAATTTAAAACCTCAATTCTCCAGTTGGCATGCGAAAGTTTTATATCATGAGAGTTGAAACGCTTCGTCAAAATACTAAGTTTACAAAAATCAATCATCAGTATTTAGCAGCAATAAAGCAATTGCCATTGGAAAAATAGGAGGATTCAGAACAATTTGCGAACGAATTACATTGCCGTTAGGCATATTGAACTTAAAGGCTCAAATAACTGGCATATCCGGGAATGAGATCCTTTGTTACGACGGAATTAATTAAAGTTTTACTGCTGAAGGACATGGCATGTTGGGACACAATAAAGCAGAAAATAGGTAAAGGTCTTATATTTTAACAAGTGAAAGTAAATTGAGGGAGGAACTTGACCCGTGGGCGAACAATGCTCAATGCCATGAAAAGGGACTGAATTTATCGAGGATTTTATTCAAGGGAAATTGGAGGCTTGTACGCTTAAGGTAGCCAAGTTGTTTTACTTTATTTGACCAACTTGAATTTATTACGCCAGTTTCAAAAGGAAATTGAACAGTGTTTTGTCCTCAAAGTAGAAAGTTTTAATGGCATAGCTTGTAAGAATGTAGATAAATTTTTATTGAACGACAAACTCTGCTTGCAAAGCGAAATATTTGGTAAAATCGTCGCAAGTCACTTCACTCATAAAAAAATGTCAGATAAAGCAAAAGAATATCATAAAAGTAACTCGAAAAATATCCGCATCCATTTCGCGGTTTGGCTCTCAAGGTAAGACAGGAAAAATATGAGAAAATTGCCGGTTTTCACCAGAGGAATATTTACTGTTGCGCGACGAGGATATTTACTATATGCTGACTGCATTTTTCTACTTTGTCGCAGAAAAGAGAGATCAGAGCTGGCAAGCACTAAGAGCCAGCATATAGAGCCAACCGTATCTGCTTGTAACTCGCGCCCATCAATTTTTGTTGGATGAATACTTAAGAAAAGAAAAAGAGTTTCTGAATTTGTTGCATTTTAAGATCTGCTGCTTAGATTCATAAACTTTCTTTCAAAATCATAAAACTTCATCACAAACTAAAGGCATGTTCCCATTTTAATCCAGCTGTTATCTCTCAATACTTAGAGGGAATTTTCTGATGCTGAATACGAAAATCTGTCGATGCAGAATCTTTTTACTTAGTGCCTTCCATTACAGTGATTTATTGCGACATAGAAAACTTTTATCCTTTGAACAGAATTGTCTGATCTGTGGGATTGAGGGATTTGGGCCACTATGATAAAGCACTCGACACGAAAACTCGGCGTCACGGATTATTGGGATGAATGTATTAAAAAACAGAGCACAAGTGGAACGACAAAAGGGATCATTAATCAGTTAGCCAACAGTTTCACTGAAAATGGGTTAGACGCTACAAAAGACCGATGATTTTCAAATTCGTTTAAGTGCAGATATATCTTTTGGCAGCTTTCATGTTCTGAGTCCACATGAATAATGGAAACATGTTTTGTTCATCCTAAGTAGGTTGTTTGAGCAAACAAAAAACACTATGTTTTTTATTTATTGTGAGCGATAAAGCACACGTCCATTAAATGGACTTTGTTTTCGTTTAGATTTCATTGCTGGTAATTTAAAATGCGCTTCATCTAGATGAGAGTTTCTGCAAAAAAACTATCCCTAAAACGCGCCAAATAGAATTGCATTCATTACCTCCCTTGCATTTTGCTGCCGCAAATGTTTTCACGTTAAATTGCATTTTTGCTTGATACTTTGCTTCGAGTATAATTTTATTTATTTTTCGTCCATTGATGCAATTTTGCCCAATTCATTTTTCAGAACTGGGTCATTTCGCTCCACTCAATAATAAATCCCTGTAAAGATATTCAGAGTTCTCAATTTGAATATTAAAGTCGACAAATAATGAAAGTTACAAACTTGATCGGGATATTGCGGATCAAAGCAAATCAGTTTGGAGCATTGAATATTCGCCTCAACTGATTCAACTGGTAGTTTTCTAAGACGCGAATGGTGCGATCGCTTGAAAGCGGGCGAGGAAAATAGGTTGCATAGAGCGTATTTACTAAACTTTCATTAATGCAATTTGCGGATTTATTTCCACCACAACGAAACATCATTAACTATACACGTTTATAACGTGTGTAGGTTTCCTTCCGTGATAATGGAAGATGAATGATCTGGTTGATGCAACTAATCGGGCTGAATTACAGTGATTTATCACTGTTTGGTAAACTGAGTCTCTAAATTTGCTGAATTGAAATAACCTACTGAAACAAGGTGTGAAATGACGCTGAAACACTTAAGGCTTTAGTGGATTTTGATGTGTTCGATTCAAAGCAGTTGCTGATTTATTACTCAGAAAGTGAGCTAGAGTTTGCTTAATTTCATTGCCCAAAGTGTTATGGAACTGTTGTCCCTGTTAAAAAATTATTGATTTCAAATTGAATCGAAGTGAAAAACTCAAATTCAACTAATGAGATTGATCAGACGGATGAAGGCGACGAATTTTGGAACAGTTACTTCTTGTGGCTAAGTAGTATTTTTTAGATCACTTGGGCGACATACTTTACAGGCTGATTACAAATTTAACAATGAGTTGTAGAAATGAAGAAAAGAACACAAAATAGGTTTTAAAACCTAATCTTTGGATATGTTATACCGTAAGTGAACAAGCGGATTTTGTGCTATCTTTTGCCACCTGTAGAAATAAAAAAATCAGTAAAACCCCCGGACCTTTAATGTTCCCATTTATTATTTTCCCGTGGAATAATTGCTGCAGCAGAATCCTAATAGTGTGGCGATGGTAATTTATTTTGGGGCTTTCTGCGTCGAGCTTTCAACTTCTTGAATAAATACCGTTAAATCAAGCAAACCGCTGCCTTTTCGCTGTTCCGAAAATTTGTCTCAATCAGGACAAGCCTGCTCAATTGGAAATATCGTTACGCGACCTTCGAGACGCCTAAACTCTTTGATGAATGGGGCCTTTGAGAAAAGTCCAAATGGAATAACCTGGAGCTAGCAAATCAAATTTTCGATTAGTTTTTTATATGTCGTATGGCTTTCTTAATGTCTTACTAAAACCCGCAATTCTGTTTTATCGTTGGGAGTTTAAAGATTCTATAGCTGAAAAATGCTCTTGAAATAAAGCACGGATCTTTCAAACAGTAGTTATTGAGTATAAAGTGGTTAGCGCACTTTAATAACCGGCGCCGAACTTGCTTGAGTGACTTCAGTTCGCCCGAAATTCAGTTCGAGCTAAATCGCAAAAATATGTGTTAAATAAATGAACAGATTGGTGTTTGCAAAACCTCTTAAAGCACTTGCTTTAGATTCTGCCAGTGATTCTGATTTAACTTTCGTTTTGGCTCTGTGACTACCGTTACATTTGATGTTTTTTTCAGGTGATCGTCTACCCAACTAGAGAAAATCTCCAGCTTTTTGGGGCAGCCCTAATTTTGCTGATCATCTGGTTAATCGCTGTGATGTTGGCAATGCCCCTATTTATCTATCGGCATTTACTGCATCATGACTTGCCAGGAATGGACGAAGCCATACCAAGCCTGGACTTTTGCATCGAAAACTGGCCGATTGAGCATGGTCGTGCCTACTACTCGATTTTCAGCTTGATTTTCCAGTACACCTTGCCAATAATTATCGTATCAGTAAGTAATTTGAAAATTTGCATCCATCATCGGTCAATTTCAATTGGCTCCGCTATAATGGAACGTAAATGATTGATCCACAAAGCGAATTGTTATTCCCAAGCGTTTTAAAATTTGGGCAAAGTCATTGTGGCTATCAAAATTGTTTGCACAGAAAATCTCGCATTAAACGAAATTTTCTGTGCATTTCAGCGAACAAAGCATAAATCAATTCGCGACCAAAAAGCCGGTAAAACCGATTTCCGTTGCAATTTCTGTATTTTTGTCAGGCACACGCTAAAAAGTCGCTTTTTAGGCACGCCAATCCGGCTCACATTCAGCCTCTAATAGCTAAAGCTGTGCTCAAATTCGATTCGTGTATTGTCCCAAAATGCGAGCAAACAAACGTGATTTTTAAACGTTGTTTAATCAAATTTACAACACCCGATCTTGTCTCAGAAAGAGATGAACCTAAATGGCTCTAAAACAAACAGCAAATGCCATTTTATTAAAATTAATCGGTTTTTATACGGGCAATAAACAATGCGCATTGTGCATGATAATATCTTGAACTGATTAAACGTGCCAGTATTAACGAGCTTTATTTACGATTATTGTCATATGCTTTGGAAAGTCCACAGTAGCGATTTTACGAGGATTTTTAGTGCAACTCATCTGGCAGAATTAATGGAAATATAATAGATTTTAATGTCGATCCTCGTAAAATTTAATATATTTAATTTTACCAGCGCATTAAAACTAATTTACGTCCCCCTAAAATCCGGATGTCGTACTCTATCTTCGCTTAAAATTTAAACTAATTTCATCCATAACCATCATAGAGTCAGATTAATTAATGTGTACCCGAATTTGAATATGTGGCTTTGTCTAACGTAATGAGACTGAATGGAATGGGGTTGAGGGAATAGGAAATAATAATACTTGTAGAGTATTAAGAAGATCCATTTTCTGTATGAGACCAAAGTTCGAGAATTCATATTCGAGCTCTGATGTTAAGCAACTGCCAATGACTATGTCGAAAATAATTGGCTGCACTATTGGCAAAAAATCAAAATTTTGATTAAGCTAGTTCTGTGGTGTTTTGCGCATTATTGCAAAGTTTGGTAATACCGGGAGCGTTTTCGCGACATCAAAGCTCAGCAAGTGTACAAGTGAACAATAACATATTAAAGCCGCTTTCTCTTGTTCCAGGCAGCTTATTATCGAATTTCCTATAAGCTGCGGTATCGATTTCAAGCCGGTTTTGTTAGCGCCGAAGATAATCTTCAGAAGAATCGTCGACAGGAATTGAGAGGCCGAAGATTGCAGCGGACGAATCTTCTGCTGAGCTCAATTGCCATTATTTTCTGCATCAGTTGGCTGCCTTTGAACTTGTTCAATCTGATTGCTGATCTTTCACCGGATTCGAATAAGTTTAGTAGTCAACCAATGAAGGTAAGTTTTGAAAGTTGTGCGAACATTTCTGGTTTGAGAATTAACTACTAATCTAGAGAATTCGGAATCTGGCCTGTTGCATTTGCATGCAGGGCATTGTGCTCATAAAACTGAATCGTTTGCATTTGCATAAACGGCTATTACCTGATTGGCTGCTGGCCATTTGAACAGAGTATGTAAAGTTTGGAAAGGCACATTTTGAGCAAATCTTATGTCTAGTGCATAATGACAGTGGAACGGTCTAAATTAAATAAAATGATAATGCAAATAAAATAAAGCAATAAACGTGCTTAAATAGTTTCGCATTCATTGCTTCGAAGTTTTAATTTGTGTAAATGGCCATAACGCTATATCTTTGATCATACTTTAGCAGTGGTTCATGTATATTGCTGGCGTTAATTTGCTGCTCCCTCAAATATAAGCGAGTTCTATTAGCCTAATTAGTTTTATAATTTGCAGTAAAGCATCTCGAAAGCTGTACTTTGGGCTAATAAATTCCATGTTTTGTAACATGAATCTATGATATATTATCAAAAGGACCGAACAACTGAAATGAAAGCAAATTAAATTTCTATTTCCATTATTTGAGTAAAACCATGACCATAAGGTTTAAGAAGTGCTTCAAAAGGTGTGCAGGAAAATGTTACAAAAACGAAGAATCAAACATTGAACTATACTAATTGAAATTGTTTAAAACGTTGAAAAACTCTGAAAATACATTTCCGACGGATGTAGCTGGTGAATTTTCTAACATCTCAAACAGCAGTGCATTGAAAGTCTTTACAAACATTTTATGATTTTTTAATAAAATTTGCTTTTTGCCAATTTGAAGTTAAATTAAACAAATTATAATTGCAAACTTGAAATTCATTGGTGCCTAAGTTCATTAAAGCTGCAATCGACGGGAAAAACAGCTACCGAAAATGCCTTTCCTAGTATAAAAATGTGCTAAACGAATGTTACGTCCACAAGCGTTTTTCAAACAGGTCAGATCTTGGCAGTTTTATAAATATGCCGAGAAAAGCTATGAATGGAAATAGTCTGCTTTTGGTATATAGCGTTTAAGTTGGTCAATAAATCATATGGTACAACGAATTTTTTCCGCAATATTCAGTTTAACATCACATTTCGTGTTGAATTGAATAATTGAATGGTATTTTGCACGACCATTTTGAAACTATCAGACGGATGAAGGAGATTAATTTTATAACAGCATCAAAATTTAATTAAGTATTTCAAGAAAACTATTATTCCTTAGTGTATCAGAAACGCATCAAGCGATTGCTCGATAACGGAACTTCAAATTTATTTATTTTTTTAAGTTTTCTCCTAAAAAACCTCCTACAAATTGGTAAAATACCATATATATATATAAAATAAAATGCGGCATATTCAGTTTAATATTGAATTTTCCAATTTTCTTGTCTTAAAAAAGTTTTGCTGCTAAAAATGAAGTAAATTTCAAATTATTCGGTAAAATTTCGCTTTTTGCTTCGCTTATTTGATTCAAATGAGACGCAAGAATCAAATAATTTCGGAACAAATCCATTCAGAAAGATGAAGGAGAGGAATTCTTAAACAATAAAACTATCAATATTACTGCTGTGTGGCAGAACACTTTCACATTGAAAGGCTGCAAAAACATTTGAAAAGTGGACAACATTCTTACTTAAAGCCAGTGTTATTTAGCATTAGAAAATCATGATTTATATATAGTTTTCGAACCTCCCGTCATATTTCAGGCCGATGAGGGTGAGGAGGTTTCTAACCATTTCTATTGCAGCATCTTGCGGTGGTTTTTTCGCTAAATTTCTGTGGCAATTGCGTGAAAATTGGGGCCTTTGCGAAGTAAAGCTGCAAATAATTTTTAAAAAATTTTCATTTTGATATTAAATTGCAAAATAATATTGACCAGGTTTGTTTCAGCTAATTAAACAATTTTTCCTCCACCTACCTCAAGTAAAACCGGACTGGAGTTGAGCAAAAGACAGTAAACGTCTTTTCTAATAAAGACTTGATCAAGTTTTTTTGCTTGTTTCAGGTGTGTTACGCCATTTGCCACATGATGGGCATGTCATCTGCATGCTCGAACCCAATTCTCTACGGGTGCCTGAACGAGAACTTCTGGAAGGAATTCAAGGACATTCTTTGCATCGAAAAGGATGGCGATGATGTTGGCCGGCCTTCACAACGGAATTCGGTACGCAAAAAGTGTCAAAACAGCCTTTTAAAGCCTGATCTTATGACGGATGCCACTAATTATCCCCAGTGCAACACAGGCAGTACGGATTTAACAGTGTTAACGAAATGTTAGCGATTAAAGAATTTCGCAGCGCGAAGTAATTTGAGCGCTGTGAATAGCATGAATTCGGTTGTTTAGGTTTGTCTTAATTAAAATTATTTGATGCGAGAATTGAACGGAATATTCAAGATATTTTAATGGGCTTTAATCAGAAGTTATTGGGTGTTTTTGAAATTTTGCACTAAAAGGTAGGCGAAATTATTCAGATGGTCTATAGATTTAAAATTCGAGCCTCGAAAATCATTATCGTGAGCACTTTTAGTCAAATTGATAAAACTGTCCATGAATTACTTAACGTGATAGGAACTAAGGACTAGATATTTGATCTCGAATGATAATATACATGCAGACAAAATTCTAAAGTGTTGACATTTTAAATTTCAGAATTTTTATGCTTTAATCCCAAAGTGCGTTGAAAATATCAGAGGAACCGTTCAACTGTGATTGTGATGTGATGGACTGAAAAGGTAAAGTTACTAATTTGTTTTTAATGTTAGGATTGTCATGTACCATTATTTCGTTTGTGCGGTTTAAGGTTTAAGGCTTTGACGGCGATGATTGAGGAAACTTAGTTTTTTTGTTGATGTTATTGAATGAAAATTTGTAGACATAAGAAGTTTTTCAACGTGAAACTAAAATTATTATATGTACCTAAACCGGAAAATTGTACCTCTGAAAAATATAAAAAAACTTCAAAAATACATTAAATGTAAAATAATGTACATACTACCTGGCTGTGCCTCCTTCATTTAAATCATGTCGTCTGTATAATCCTTATGGATGTAATTGGTAATGTTAGTAAGCAAAACTTGGAAACTATTAAATAAACGACTTGAAACCAACGAAACGATCGGCAACAAAATAAAAAATTTGCACCAAAAATATACGTATTTACTCTTATATTGTCTAAGACTATTTAGGTGTTTTGTAACTTTTATATTAGCCCATCCTTAGCTAATTTAGGACTTGTCAGTGTTGTTTATGTTGCTGTTATAACGGATATATTTTCAATTAACATCGAACCTTGTAAGGATTTACGAATTGGTTGGGAAATTGTCCAAGAATAGTCAGTCTGGAAGCCACAGCTTTGTGTGCTCAGTCTTTCTGACGGGGTTTTAAAATAACAACAGCAAACAATACAGAGTATAAAAAGTACCTTTTATTAGCTGAACCTAGTAATTTGATAACTTAGTTACAGGCAGTCTAGGGAATGAATTCCAACAAAGCAAAAGAGGGTAGCAGTTTTTTTAGGTTAATGAACTATATTAGATTTGAGGATTTTATTTAAGAAGGAGAGAGCTGATTCATTAAAAGGCGGTTTTGAGACAGAGGAAGAAAGCATTGGAAAATAAAAAATCTGCGGCGTTTAAGTGGCAGAGTACCAGTTTCTCAAACCAGGTCAAAATGATATAAAACTACTAACCAATAATCAATTTATTGTTTTCTACTCATTTAATTCTAGAAGGTTTCTAGAATGATTCTGTGAAATGAAATTAGGAGAATGGTCACATTCTGCCTGCTGAAAGCCAAATAAACAGAGCAATTGACAATTCTTGCAACGGGAATTGAAGTTCGGAACTTGTTTTCATAAGTGCATCTTTTCGGATTGATCCAAATCCCCTTTAACTATGCGCTCATTGTAAAGTGAAATGCGATTTTCTGAAAGCAAAATATAAAAAACGTATTGCCAAATGCTGTTATTTTGTCTTGGATTTTATGGCTTGTATTTATTTATTTTTTCAATTAACTGAAAAGCGCTTGTTTTGATAATGGATAAACAGACAACATTTATGCTTGATTTCCTGCGGCAAAACTACTGAGAAGCTCTCTACGACAACGGAAAACAATTCACAAAAGTGCTAGAGCTTATTTTTTACGTTCTCAACCTCTTTCAAATTCTTTTTTCAGAAACGCTTGCTTCAAATAACTGCCCGTCTCAAATTCGATCAGATGAAACTGTTTTTTATATATAAAATGACCCTTTTCTACATTGTCAGCGCTCGATTGATGAAGGTGTTTACAAATATCCACTCAGAGTGTATCCATATGTGCTGGGTTATTGGGAACATATCCAGCTTCAGTCGTTCAATGTTAAATTATTGGCAACTTCTATCTTTATAGAGCGGTTTTTTTATTACCCAATTAAGAATCGTTGCAAATTATATGAAATCAAGCATCTCATTAATAACTCTTAAATGGGCGCCAGACAAAAATTTCTTTGTGGGAAGCGCAGCTTGATTAATGACCGATAAATTGGTTTGCCATTGAAGGTTGCTAAAACGCCCCTCGGAAATTTGAGGAAAATTGATGTTTCCCATTTAAAAATCCATTAAAAATGCCATCAATGCCGAAATCTGCACCCTACGAAACTTCCTATAGTAGAATGTGACTGGAAAGTGTAGATTTAGCACTCAGAACATTTAGAATGCTGAACTTAAATCCATTAAGGAACTCGTTTCGTTGAAGTAAATTTTCATACCGAGTGAATTAAAAATACTTGATGTGCTTGAAAAAAAAAACGAAATTTACATTAAACAAGTTTTACTTGCCGTGTCCTGCTCAAGTAAACTCTGTTTATGCGGGATTAACTTGGAGATGGTCAATACCTCACGCAGATTTCTCATCGTGATATATTCCCTTCTTGTAACTAATAAAATGTTATTTTTGCTAGATGGAATTTTTTGAGATTGCTTTTGAACAATCATTAACATTTTAGGAAAGGTTTAGACTGGGCATAAAATATTGACTAGGGTTTATATGTCGGTACTTCACAACTTAAAAAAAATATTTCCATGTTCATCCCTATGAATTGCTTAAATCATTCAAGTGCTTTCAAGGGTTGTTTTTGTCGTTGAAAATATATCCAGCGATCAAAACATCGTCGAGCCCAAGATGTTCTTGATCCAAATGTATTCTGTATATTATAAATGTAAGTGTTAGACAATAAGACTAATATTATGTTGTATTAATTCGTTCAGTTGATAAAAAAATGCATTTGACGTCATTCTTTATACATACATATGTGCTGTGTATAGTATTAGTTACTATAAGCTAGTGTCAATTTATTTGTTTAATTTAAGATAGTTTTAATCCGTATGTTATTAAAATTTATATTGTGTATCTAAAAACTGTATATTTCAATTGAATTATTACAATAAAGGATAGTTTCGTATATTTATTGAAGTTCATTTGACTCAAAAATAAATTAAGTGCTCTACACAGTGTGAGGAAACCTATTAGTTCACAAGTGAAGCTACTTTTGCGTTTTGGGAAATTAGGCAATGATCTGGAATGCAAATTATTCTCAATGCCTGAAGATTTTCCAAGTGGTTCTTCTGCTTTATGGTAAGTAGTAGAGATTAAAAAGCGTTTAAATTGTGAATGCGATTGTTGGGTGAGTCTAATAGGGGGTAACAAAAGTTGTTAAAATTCAGCAATCGAAATTATTTTATTACTGGTTTCCTTGCTTGAATAATGAATGAAGCCATTTATTATTTAATAACCAAGCTGAACTCTCAAAATCTAAATAGTTTTTTTTTTATGTTTTTTCATTAGAGCCCATTTTTCTGTGTCTTTAAGAACTTTAAGTCGACGGTCGCGAAACGAAAGGTCTCAAATGGAACTGATAATGAAAATATCGTCAATCGATGAGGATCACGAAATGGTCCTTTTACAGTACGTAGTGAATAAGCAAATTTACCTACCATTACAGATTCCACAACTAACTTTAGTTGCATTTGGGAGAGCCAAAGAATCTTATTTTCCAATATTCCAAACCGCGTTATCAGCAAGTAGGTTCGCATAATTTGCTAATTTGACTTTCAGTCACAGTCCTAGCTCACTTTTTCAAATTCCCCCACATGCAAGTTTGAATAAAACATCCGACTTTATAAATATCGAATTCAGGTTACTTGGATGGTCGTTCCAAATTTCAATACGACGTAAATACATATGTAGATAATTCCACTATATGATGATTTGAAAAAATATGCTAATTCTCCTCGTTTATACTCCACTGTTTTCAGAAGTGGATTTGGAATAATTTTTTCATTCCGGCCCGCCTTAATTAGTATGCCGGCAAGAAAAGAGAAATTACCGATTCAATATGGTAATTTTTATGGGCGATATGACAAATACATACTGGGAAGTGTGTTGGACAGTGCAATTTGTGAAACGGATATTGAACTAGGCATTTTAACGTACAAAGTGTTCACTTAAGCACCGTTAACTATAATGGTCAACTTGCTTCAATCAGTCAATATATTCCTAGATGCAAACATGTTTTTTTTCGAAAACTGACTCTAGTTTTGACTGCGAAGCTACTGAAGTGAAATTGCAGGCATTTTATTTTCAGTTTACGTCCAAATTTGGGGCTTTTTGTCGCTGGAACTAATTCCATATTTTCCCTTTGGAAAAATTGCGGCTTCTTAATGCAAAATTCGCCGATTCTATTCAGGTCACAGATAAATCGGGTTCTGCCATTTTCTCGACGTTATGAAAAAAAGATAAAAGATCCCAAATTGACATAACGCGGGAGAATTATTGTCAATCCTATTTCATATTTCATGTAGCCGTCGGAGTAAAAGACGATGTTCGCCGGTTGCTCTGGAATTTATATGAAAGCATAGAAACGTTTTGGAAGGCTCTGTATGGAGGATAGGTTTTCGGATGCCAGTTCTTATTTCCTTCAGCTCCTTGGTGGCTTGTTGATCTAATTTTATTGAAACAACATTGGGCAAGGAATATTTGAAATATTGATGTCTCTTTATCATTTTTTTTATAAATTTCCCAAAGCAACTATCCAGAAGCATAGTAGAACACTATTATTGCATCTCGCCATTCTCCTTGATCTTGAACACATTTAATTCCCGATCCTATGCAAATCCTCACTAAATGGGTTAATTTAGGGCCTTCCAATTACACAATATCCATGCCCAACCGGCGTAAATCGTTCTGCATATCAAAGTGCTGAAGAGGGTGTTAAAATTCAAAGCAAATAATTTGTTAGGCCAAATACAACACTTTCATCGAAGGTCACTTGAGATAGAAATGGAGGTCAATGTCACAGTTCTAATTACTCGAACCAGCAAAAGAAAAGTTGATCATTGATAAGTCGGTTTGGTGGCCCCAATTTTGAGCCGTATTTACACTGTCGGTGAAATAAAACACGTTGGCGATATGAACAATTAGCATGTCGATAAACTACTTTCAAAGTGACAAAAAGTGCTAGTAATGCTGATGAACAGGCGGAAAGTGGAATGTTGTTAATTCGGAGGTTTAACTCATTTGCAGTGAGTGCCACATTTGAACTTGAACGTAACAACGCGTGGGTTGAGAATTTACTTTTCCCAGGCGTCTAGCGGGTAAATTGCACATTAGGCAGCCTTGAAACTGAGGGCAAAACCGACAGAGGAGCCCAAGAAGGAACCCAATAATTGCAATAACTTGCCCACGAACGAATATTTTGCCAAATCATCTGCGACAGAAAAACAGGCAATCGAGAACTTCCAAGAGTGAAAAGATTACAAGATTCTGCTTAGGAAACTAAGCCATTTTGCTGAAATATTAATGTATCCATCCAACACGCTGCAGCTAGTGCCGGAAGAGCAAATATTGCGTTATAAAATAAATTATTGTATCGCAAACTGGCAGACTAAAACAATCGTCAACAACAACACTCGATCGTCTTCTGAGTCTGACCATCACAGTCACGGACGGATAACCCAATGACCTCAATTCATCCATGGGCGAACCGACTATCCATCGACTTCTTCAGCTGATGTTACGTTGTTTTGTCGAAAGCACCGGATCGGACTGCGAATTCTTTTAACCTGTTATTAATTTGGTGTTCGATGTTTCTGTGAGCCGACATGTCTGTGTCTGTGCAACTAATCTGGTGAAGTTCACTTGGAAAATGGAGTGCAAGATCATTTATTGAATGGTAAGATTTCACTTAGTGCACTTAATGCGACAGAAACGCAATAATCCATTTAAAAAAAATGGAAAAGTTTGGAACAAGACATTTTAGAAAGTCTATTGAATTCTTGGCGAGTTCAAAAATTTCAACTTTTTTCTTAAATTTCTTTCCAAGATTTAATTACAACGTGACATCAAAAAACCATTAAATGCATCCTGTTGTTTTGCTGGGTTGCACTCAGAATATTCGTGAGGAATAGAGGAAATGCCTTAAGAATTACAAGGCTTTAATAATAGCATATTCACACACTCTTCCCTTACTACCTTAAGATATTCTGAACATGTGTTTAGCAGGAAATGTTCCCAAAGTCATTTGAAAAGGACCCTTGGGGATATCCCCATCTGATGTAAAGGATATTCATTCCTTCATTTCATTTAAAGTTACGCATAGAAATCGAGTAAAAAATCGTTGAATCCTTTAATGAATGTTTTCTAAATTGTAGGTAATTCAGCATGTATTCTTAGAATTGGGAACTATTCATATTTTAAGAGCGTTTGATACAATTTTTTTTTCAGTTTATACTAATTTTTATACAGTTTGTATACGTAAGTGAATTTTGAAACTCCTGCCAGCACAGAACTTCCTACGTCAGTTTGCCCAAGGTTTATGTCTTAAAATAAAATTTAAAATTATTTAATGAGCAGAGGTAAATATTTCTAGTCTAACCCGAGCTCCATAAAATGACCAACCATTTTAAAAAGAGTTTTTACACTATGAGTAATATATATTTTAATTAATTTAAAGATAATGCGATCTAAGCATACAGTTTATTATTACATTTTAACCTGATTTTATTAAATTTTATATATTATGTAACAATCCTATCTTAAAGTTTAAATTGATTCGAGAAACCCAATAGAGGGAAACAGCAGCTTTTCTATGCCCTTTTTGCAATTTTAAAACCTTTCCTTGTTTTCCCTGAATTATGTAGTTTGATCCAAAATATTCGAAAATTGCGCAACATTGATCAAAACTATTCAGTGCATCCCATCTAATTAAACTATAATGCAAGATGGATTTGTATTTTTTACAAACTTCTTTTTGGGTATTTTGCCTCAAAAATGTTTGTCTTTAAAAAAGACACAATTTCCTCACGTCTTTTATTACAGATT